GAAATTACTTATCTATATGAAGTATATAAGAAAACCCTACAAGTACCTTAAAGAACATTTTTCACGAAAGAGAAAAATTTCGATGGGCAAAATAATTGGCCATTCGGACGTCCGGATGGGGTGTTCAACGGTTGGATTTTTTTACCGTTTGGTAAACGGCTAGTTACCCGTCCGGATACCAAGCAAACATCTGAATCACTTATCCGGATCTCCTGTTTGATGGTTATAAATACCTCTCTTTATACCTATTTTAAAATAAGAATTCTAGAGCATTAAAGAGAGTCATTTATTGATCTTATCTACCTTTTTTTCAATATTTAATAGATCAAAATATTTATTTTTTGAAAAACTTTTTGAGTGAGTAACTTTTTGAAAAATCATATATCTCAATAATAGTTTTTCACACAACACTTGAGCTATATTCTTTGTGATTTATTGAAGGATATTTCGTTCTGTTCATATCATTTGTTAAGAGAGAAGCTTTTCAATTGTAATTTTGATTTTCTTGTTCATTAAATTGTGGGTCGTGTTGAGGTCTCGGAAAGCTCAACGTGTAAAAGGATTAGTGCTCCTTAGTTGTAAGTCACCGAAAGCGTTATAAGGATTGGATTGCACCATAAGTAAATCAAAGATAGTGAAAAAGGTATTACTCATGACAGAGAGCTTGGTAACGGGGGACGTAGATTGTGATTGGATCGAACCTCCTTATTACATCGTTTGCACTCTCTTTTCCTTCCTCTTATTACTTTTGTGTAATCTTGTTTATTCATAGTTATTTGCTTAAATTTGCGTTTATTTTCAAAAAAGTTTCAAATAATCAATTCACCCCCTCTCTTGGTTAGTTGTTCTTGGGCTTTTAAATATGAAGGACTATACACACCAGTCAATGTCGAAGGATTGCAGTATTGCCCAATGATGCTACTGAAAAATCTCAACAGCCCTCAATGCCAGTAGCGTTGTCCGGTGCATCTCCTTCATCGCTGGTTGTCTTGTCGAAGATCGGAGAGCCCATACCAATGGAGCCACTGAGGATCCACTGCCTCGACCAATTTATGGTAAACAGAATCGTCGGAGATCCTCGTATTGAGTGAATGGATTAGGTTGGATAGGGGTGAGGTGGGGGGAGAGAGAGAGAGAGAGAGAGAATAGGTTGGGTGGGGGTGAGCGATATATGCATATTAGGTGTAATTAAAGTTTTATTAATTTTAATTATAACACCTAATTAACACCTGATTTGTGAAAATGAAACGCAATCCCTTGTTTTTTGAAAATGAGTCTTTAAATGTAGGTTTATAGGTAATTTTCTCTTAAAACTATACTATACATTTATGGCTAGGTCACAAATGGCTCGACCTGTCTAAAATTCTGATTCTCTACGAATTTAAATCAAAGCACTTAACAAAATACAATAATGTACTTGAAACTTTTTGAAGTGTTACACCGGTCGCCTTAAAGCCCCATGTAAGGCTTTTTTTTTTTTTCTCCAAGGACAAAGTAAAAACATGGATGTTTCGAATCTCATTGTTAAGGTAGTAAGAAAACTGCAGTCCACGTCCATCCTTCGTTTTCTGCAGTTGAACTTTGACTTGGATGTGTTTGGCAGATATAAATATTCAAAAATTCAAACTTCAAAGGGGTTAAGGACAAGCAACCTTTGATGCCAAGAAATTTCCTTAAATGAAATTCCACAAAATAGTGCAGAATTTGGCATGAATCAATGGACAAGCTGATAAGAGAGAGCAATGAGAAAGAAATTATATTTTCATGTACAAAACTGTGTTCTTTTGCACGTTGAACAGGACATAATCGGACAAATAAATATTTTTACACG